AAAACTGAAACATTTGTAATTTGACGGAAAATTTGAGACTGAATTGATCGGATTCTTTCATCGACATGATAAAAGAATAATCAAGTCTGACTATTCCTTGGAAATTTTCTTCCATCAGGATGCTCCCAAAACCTAAGAAACCAAATCACCTTCCTAGCTCCTACCGACCCATCAGTCTTTTGCCCATTATTGGCAAAATACTGGAAAAGCTCCTATTGAACCGCTTGACCAAGGAAATTCCTACAAACACAATTCCCCATCACCAATTCGGCTTTCGGAGTTGCCACTCAGCTGTACAACAAGCAAATCGCATAATCGACGTTATTTCCACATCCCTTGAGCTAAAACAGTATTGTCCGGGTGTGTTCTTGGATATACACCAAGCCTTTGACCGAGTATGGCATTCTGGGCTGCTGTGGAAGCTCAAGAACATCCTCCCAGCAACCTATTACCTTATCCTAAAATCCTATCTTAACGATCGTTTCTTCCAAGTATCCCACAAAAATTCATTGTCTCCTATCCATCCTATTCTTGCAGGTGTCCCACAGGGCAGCGTGCTCGCTCCTTTACTTTATTCAATTTATACCTCTGACCTACCTACGCAACCTAACACTATCACCTTCACCTTTGCCGATGATACCGCAATCCTTTCTCCTGATAAAGATCCTGTCACTGCTTCCCGTAATCTTCAAAATCACCTAAACACCCTAGAATGCTGGCTCCGTCGGTGGAGAATCAAGATCAACGAAACCAAATCAACGAACATAATATTTACTCTAAACAAGAAAACACTCCCACCAGTATACCTCAACAACGTCCCCATCCCAATTGCGAACCATGTACGATACCTCGGACTCTTCCTGGACAAACGACTGACGTGGAACCCCCATACACGACTTAAACGCACAGACTGTAGTATACGATTTTTCATGCTTAAACGACTACTCGACAGACGATCAAAACTCTCACTAATAAACAAAAGAAAACTTTACATTGCCCTCCTGGCCCCCATTTGGACATACGGTCTTGAACTTTACGGTACTGCTAAGCGTTCCAACCTCAATCGAATCCAATCCCTTCAATCTAAAATCCTCAGAACAATAGTACAAGCCCCTTTCTATGTATCCAATCACACCATCCATACCGACCTAAATGTCCCTTTTGTTACCGAGCTAGCCCAATCCCGCTACAAAACGTACCATTCCAAACTACTCCATCATCCGAACCCTTTCGTCCAAAACCTGTCATCCACCACATTACCTAATAATCCCAACCGCGACAACCTTAACAATTGACATCGGTCTCCTACGATGGAGTACATCTCGCTCATCGTATTGATTAACTAACGGCTACCATCACTGGATGGTAATTGTTCAAGCTTTCACGCTACCGTTAATAATTTTATATGTAAATACTATCCGCTTTACTTGTTGCATCGAAGAATGCAGTTGTAAAAAACAAATAAAAAGTTAAATAAGTCTGACTAGAGTAGAAATAAAATAAAACCAGAGCTTCGATGCATGTGCACAACGTTTACTAAACAAACGAAATTATTATTTTTAAATTTATAAGGTTTCGTGGTCCGCTTGACAAAATAAATTCTTTTCAATTAATTAATCTATAATTAAGGGTTTGGTTGAGATAAAAAAGTCAGTGCCACGAGCGAGACTCGAACCCACGACCTTTGGCTAGACACGCCGGTGATCTACCACTTGAGCTATCGTGACTTCCATCCACTCGGACACTAACTTTCCATCTCAACCCCACCTTTTGAATTTTCCCTCCTTTTTGCCATTTTTCAAATGTCGTGTAATCTATTTGATTCTTGGCGACAAATGAAATGGCCACAGAGAGCTTTAGTGAAGTATACTTCATTTTGCTTATTACATTTATTAGGTTTCGTGGTCTGCTTGATCAAATAAATTCTTTTCAATTAATTAATCTTTAATTAATTAATAATTAATTAAACATTTTAAGGTTTTGGTGAGATAGATCGATGTCACGATAGCTCAAGTGGTAGAGCACTGGGGTATTTAGCCGAAGGTCGTGACACTGGCTTTTTTATCTCAACCAAAACCTTAATTAAAGATTAATTAATTGAAAATTATTTTTAAAGTAGGGCTTCTTTATATTTGGATGAAAGTTTCTTGTACGGGGAGCAAAGTGGTATTTTTTTGCGAGATGTTATCGCTCTTTAAAAAATCGTTCATATTAGAATGAAATAATCCAAAGCGAAAAAGATACGGAGAGGCGATAAAGCCTATAAAGATGGCTAGCGGTTAATTCTTTAATCCCTAGAGAGCTGTTAGCAAACCTTACCTCTAATAGCCGTTTAAATTGAAATTTATGTTATTAAACGTTTTTATCCGAGCCCAGAGATCCATTAATTATGTAGGCGCCGTTAAATAGGGCGCGCATGGTATGGTCGCGAAACCAATAATGAAAATAATTAAATAAACTAAAATTGTATAAAACCTCAATACCTGAGGTGAACGGGTGTGTAATCCTCGCCAATATTCTTTTCAGTACGCAGCAATGTAGCACCTAAACCCTCAACATACCCAAGATCCTGGATAATATGATTAGATTACTATGATACCTGCTAGGTTCTATCGGCAGCTGGTGGATATTTTCCGTGATTTCAAATTAAAAAAAAATTAAACTGAAAATAATTTATGTTTTGAAGTGAGAAAAGTTAACACTTCGTATTTTTCGCAAGGAAGCAAAGACGTTAGTTTCTCGGAGGCAAGAGAGCAAATAATAATGTGATGCAGTTCCTTATCGGCCCGTTTAGAGAGTAGAGCGCATTTGATTGTGGTAGCATTCCAACGGAAACATGAATACATACGCCAATTACTTTGGTGTAAACATACCGCCCACCAAATTTTTTATTATCTTCTGGAAATAAAGTAAAGTTTTTATGTACAATATTTACCAGTAATTTAACTAAAGATAATTATTCTAAACCACCAGGGAATGGCACGAGGGATGACACAGGTCGGGTGTAAACCCCGGAGGCATTGTGAACGTAGACTACTCGAGGAACTTTGTCACTCTCAGGGAGAGAAGAACTTGAATGCGGTCCATTGGCCTTGACAAAGGATGGGAATTGGTTCCTTTCAAGAACACCACATCACCTACAATTGGAGGCTTCGAAGGGGGGGCCCATTTTCGGCATTGTATGAGCGAATTCAAATATTGCTTCGACCAACGACTCCAGAAGGATTGAAACACATGTCTCTCTCAACAGTTTTCCTAGATCTTGGAGTGGAACAAGAAATATTCTGGAGAAGAGAGCAGGGGTGCGCCAAGGAGGAAATGGACTGGGCTCAAATATGAGACTGAGTCAACAGAATCATCACTTCAGGAGCATAAGGATCTGCACTTTAGTGCAAACTCAATTGTTGAAAACAAAGTACAATACTCTTCGAAGGTAGCTGTAGTTCCAATTAGGCTTACTCGAAGATTCTTGGCTAATTTGATAGCTGCCTCCCACAACCCGCCAAAATGAGGAGAATAGGGGGGAGAAAAACTCCATTTTATTTCGCGTTCGACCAAATGGTCACAGATGTCCTCTCTATGCTGCTGAGGGAAATTAAACACGTCCTTCAAATGACGGGAAGCACCGGGAGAATTCCGCCCTCGATCTGACAGCATTTCTGAAGGAAGACCGCGAAGTGCGATGAAACGATCAAGTGCAGAGAGAAAAGCAATTGTACTAAGTTCCTAAAAAATTCAAAATAAACAACTGTACAGACAAACAAACACAAATAACCTTTAGTTAATAAAGGCTTTCGAGAAAGATTTGATCGGACTGTAAAAGGGCCTGCAAAATCGACGCTGAGAAAGGGCGAGAGACATGAGTGAAGATCTGCCATTTGAGGTTGGCAAGAAGAGCTACAAAACGTATGACAAGTTAACATTTTCTAATGAGACTGCAAAGAGGCAATATCCAGAATTTGGTCCTTATTAGGGCTTGAACGGTGGTTGGCCCGGAATGCAGCTAAGAAACGTGATAATGGAAGCAAATCAATCTAGCCAAGTGGGCAACATTCGGCAAGAGTACAGGATGTTTGGACACATGAACAAGCGTGGATTGGGAGTGTCTTCCGCACTCTCTGCTAATATCACGTTCTTCGATAAATGGTGTCAAGGCTTGCAATTTTGGCGCAATGCTGCAGGAGAGAGATGAAAAGCTACAACGTCGTACTACAACGTATTAGCTGCTATTGTATGTACATTTATAAACAAAATAATCATGATTTAAAAACTGACGGATTAATGATTATTTAACGTAAAAACAAGGCTTGAGTTTATTTATAGTAAAAGCTTGAAGTGGAAGAAAAGTGGTCTGACTGAACCATTTGTTGCATAAATGTAAAATAATTAATTAACAAGTTATCAGGAACAATTAAACTGCGAAGAGCGTTTGTTTGTAAATTCATCTCCACATTTAGATTTGTTTATTGATATTGCACAATTTCTTTGCAATTACTGATAGCATTATTATCAAAAATTGACCAGAGACTATAGATAGGTAAATAGACATAAATGTAAAATTTAAATATTAAATAATAAAATAGTTTACACAATAATGGATGTCAGTTATGCAAATACATTAAACTATGATTTTTATTTATCGAATTTTCATACATACTTTAAAATAATAAACTTAAATATAAGAATAAGATATGGATATAATAGTAATGATTTAACTACAGTAATTATATCTATTTTTAATATTTAGGTAAAACCTCCCCCAAGATATCTGCAACAAAGATAGTTTAGTCGATATTGACAATTAAATAGTATACCACGTAATATGACTAGTATATGCAATATATAATATTTTAGTTGAACATAAAAGTCCAGTAATATTATCTAATTGTAAAAATATTAGAAAATTTTGAAACACCGTGAAGCTTAACAAGCCAAAGCATTTTTTGCCATAATGATCTATTGGAAAAGGAGACAAATTGTATGAACAGACGAATCAACAATTGTGTTATAAAAGAACCGTTTATATTTAAATTATTCGTTTAAATTACATTATCCCGTATCGTTTAGGGTCATTTTTGTCTGCTTTCTGCTTGCATCTGCCGAAATAATCTTCGAAGATCTGAATAACTTTCAAGGCACCTTTCTTGTAGATTGACACTTTTTCACCGACATCGATTACCGTTATTCCGAACTCGTGGTATTTCCTAAAAATACAAGACATTAAATACTGCGTGGGACGCTGGGAAGCTTCAAAAGCTCACCTGAGGAAGCACCTGAAACCGTTGATGTCTTTGCAGGATGCGTCGTTGATCAGGATCGCGTAGAATGCGTGAATCGTCCCGGTCAAAATCTTCGTAGTATTGACCACAAATTCTCCACCCGTTCCGATCAGCATATCCAACGTAGGGCAGTCCTTGTCATCCTTGACATATTCGGTCATGGCGAAGGGAAGACTCTTGAAGCTCTCCGGCGTATCGCCCACTGAGTTTTCATTGTAATCTTTAACCAGGAAGTTTGCCTGTTCCAGGGAGGGCGGTTCGATAACGCCAGCTCTTACAACGAGGGTCTAGCAAAAGCATCAGTTAGTACCATTCTCTATTAAGTTAAAGGATTTAATTTTACCTGAATGAAACCGACAATCGCCAAAAAAATAAGGAAGTTAAACATTTTCCTCGCTTGCTTCTTCAACACTGTTGAGTCAAGTGAATCCGTCTGATAACCCCACTCCGTCTTCTTTTATATTTAATCGATCCTCTCAAATTTTAAATTATCTCTTTTTGAATACTCTTTGGCCGACCGACGATAAGTCTCATTAAGGGCCACGCCTGTCCGTTAAAATTAAAGATTTCAATAAGTCATAGCAATCTTTAAAATTAAAATACATTCAGCGATAAGATATGATAATAAAATTGATTGTTTGGATTGTTATTTCTTGAAATCACTTTTTTAAAATTCGCCCAAAAAATGCAACTCTTCAAATGTGTCTGCAAAGAAGAGTTTTGTCAGTTTAAAATTATGTTCTTTCAAAAATTCATCGAGTGTGGATACAGATTTAGGGAGTGAAATAATGTTCGAGGAAGAAAGAAAATAGAGCATGACTCAATTTGTAAAAATGTTTCTAATCCGCCAATCAATGTTCCACTAATCAATTTCTTCCCGAGTTTTAAATAATTGAAATGATGAAAGATATGTGGAGTTTCAATCTTCGTAGAGGTCATTAGACAGGTGAAGAAAGGAAAAGATTAATTGTTGGGTTCACCAAGCTTTCGGCAACTTATAGTGCCATCATCAGAGCCTATTGATGGCACTATAAGTTTCCGAAAGCTTGGTGAACACAACTATTAGACTTTTCCTTTCTTCACCTGTCTAATGACCTCCATGAAGATTGAAACTCCACATATATTATCTGCAGTTTGATCAACAAACATGATAAAAGATGTTTAACACAGAGCCGAGGATTAGAAATTTGGCAAATTTATGTCCATGCAGAACTCGCAAGGAAGATATGGATGGCTTGTGGACTATAACAAAAAATGGCCTAATAATCAGCTGGAGCAAATCGCAGCAAAAACAAGCTACCCGAACACTAGGTAGCATACAAACATAAGGAATTCTATGTATCACCGGGGCAATGAGAGCAACTCCCACAAGCGCACTCGAAACTCAACTATATTTATCTCATGAGAAACTAGGAAAAGCTCATTTAGGCTCCAGAAACAATCAAATTGGATGGAGCTAAACTATCCGGGCACAAAACTATAAACTACATGATCCTGGAAACACTCTTTACAATATCCTATAAATTCTCAACAGGCTATAAAAGATAGGAAGACACAGGAGAACATGAGATACAATGATATGGCATAGAGATGGCTCCAAAATAAACGAAGGAACCAGATCGAGTATTTTTTTGTACAATCTCAAATCTTGAGCAATCAAACTGATTAGGGCAGTACACTTCGGTCTGTCAAAAAGAAATATATCCCAATGTGCCTTAGAAAATCTTAAAAGAGATTACACTGGCAAAAAATCCTCATCAGATCGGAAAAGAAGCTATTGGATGCATTAGCGTGTAAAAAAATCACATCGAAATTAGTCAGTGATGCAGACGAAATATCCAAAACTTGGGGAAACACAACAACCTGATGATATCTTGGGTGCCAGGGCACAAAAGAATTTTGGGCGACTAAAAAGCAGACACCCTGGCCAAAGGAGGATCTGCAAGACCATATACAGGCCCCGAGCCTATCTTTGGGATAACAAAAAGAACTAGAAAATCCTCCATCGCAGAATTGATCCAAACATAATGAAATGAGAAGCGGATATACTCTGGGAGCTCTAAGTAAACTTATGCTAAAACAACCCTCACCAAGGCTGGTGCAAACTCACTGTTGCAGTTGGAAAGGGCCAGACTCGGAGAGGTGATAGAACTATTAACTGGTCACTGGCATCTGGGAAAACATTTACATAACACGGGCATATATAACTATGATCCCTTTTGCAGATTATGTAATGAGGAGGCAGAAACAGTTACCCATATCATAAATGCGAAGCAACGGTTCAATGTAGACATAACCTAGCATACAGAAAAACTTATGGAATGAAATTGTAGCAGCAACACTCAATGCCCTAATACTTCTGAGAAGAACGATTGAGTTGATTGCACTGAACAAACAAATTAGGAAGGTACAATGAGGTAGAAAGCTGCAGTGCTTGGGGAGTACAAACCTCACTTCCTAAAATCCTCATCACCATCACCATCACAGATTTGTTGTTACAACGATCCGAATTTCAATTCATTTCATAATTGTGGTAATCTTTAAAAAGTAAAAAAATTTTTTTTTTTAATAATTTGTAGTACATTACAACTACCTTAAAGTAGGTAATAAGTAACAGTGAGCAAGGTAATTAAAACAAGACAAAATTAAAACCAAGAGTGGAGAAAACACCCATTGGTATTACTCCAATGTTACTAAAATATTGTTTGTTCAATTGATACGTGTGTCATTATACTTTCACTAACCATCACTTCCTAGGAGATCTCGCGGCCGTTGTCTCTTCAGTCGGCGGGGACGGTTTGAGGGGATTCGACGGCATGCGAGGTTTCTGATGTGCTGGTTTATGTTAGTTGGGAGGTTTTTATGAAATTTACGGTAACGGAAACGTATTTCATCTTGTATGAAAGGAATATGTAAATCTGTATGTGTAGTTTGGTTTGATACATAAAATGGAGCATCTAGTATTTTTCGTAGTATTATAGAATGGGCAGTTTGAATGCGGTGGATGATGGAATGATTAGCTGAACCTCACACTTCCAGTCCGTAAGTCCAAATCGGCTTAACTATACTAAGCAGCCTTTTGTTTTTGAGAGGTAAATTAGATCGTTTGTCAAGAAGTCGTGCAAGAGCTCTAAATCGTGTCATAACCTCCTGACGTTTCAGTCTTGTATGAGGATTCCACGTCAGGCGTTTGTCGATGTAGAATCGGAGGTACCGTACCTTGTCCGCAGTTGGGAGGGGAATATTGTTTAAGAAAACAGGGGGAATTGCCGTATCGTCTGCAAATGTGAATGTGGTGGTTTGGGGATGAGATGGCATGTCAGTTAAGTAAAAAAGTTAATTTCATTTTACCACGAATATTTTTCCTCCATTCTTCCAGATGAAATACAAAGAAAATTTTTGAACAAAGGTTTATGATTTAATTCTTTGATACATTAAACAATGATACTAAAAATTAAATTAGTAATAATATGACCAAGAGGCATTGCCAAGGATTTACCGAAGGGATGTTATGTCGTTCAATTTATTATGGTAATCACAAGCAATTTTCATAATAATTTAAGATCAAATGGCAAAAAGGAGGGTAAATTCAATAAAAGGTGGGGTTGAGATTAGTTAGTGTCCGAGTGGATCGAAGTCAGGATAGCTCAGGTGGTAGAGCAGCAAGGTCGTGGGTTCGAATCCCGCTCGTGACATCGACTTTTTTATCTCAAATAAAAATCTTAATTAATTGAAAGACATTAATTAATCAATCGGGCCACGCAAACTAGTGAATTTATTTTAAGGGTTGATACAAACCTTTAATTGTGGTTATTCAGGTGGTTTATGGTAAGTACTCAGGTTTATTAGATTATTCTGCCATTCCTCAAGGAAGAGCCCACATATATGACATTTTAAAAACATGCGCAATCCTCGGGAAGACCGCCATTTGGACAGTAAAGAACAACTGCCAAGTACCTCCACTCTTATCCTACAAACGGGTGAATACATGGAAACGTCTCTTTAACCGTGGGAGTTAACATGTGCAGCGCTTAGATTTGTAAAAGCTGGCTGACCTACAAAAATCTTTCTCTATGTGATAATATATCTGTAGATCGCAATGACAGATTTCAATTCCCTCCTTCCTGAAAATAAAATCAATGCAAAAAACAACTATAAATGGGTTTTTTAATTAACTTTTATCACATTAATACGCTTTTACGTGAAAAATAACGGAGACCTTAGATAATTATATAATTTAACTGTACAAAAAAAAATATGAGATTATATAAAACAATTAAGACGTCAAATTATTGTTCTACCTGTTAAATCATCAAATCGGCATTATTTCACAAGTGTATTACATTATCCAGTTCGTAAACATTTCAAATTTAGCTGTCAGTAGAAGGTTAACTTTATATCCATGTATATCGAACCTTTGTATTTTCCTCTTAAAACTTAATACACAGGCAAAAAATCGCCACACTTGATTGTTGAGCTCCTGTACTATAGACGTCGCGGAATATTTTTACTGTTTTATCTAACTTCATCAATCATTTTTTTAGTAAGTGGCAAAGTTAAATAACGCCGTCCAGACTTTGATCACAAATCGCTCTATGGACGTCAGCATTTCATTGTGAAACCGATAGATTTCAGAATATGCCATAGAATAAACAGATTGATTTTAAACAAATTTCGGATTATCGTTTTCCCGTGTTATTAATGAATGTGGACCTTGAAACATTTAAAAATAATCGGTTAATCTATAATGCAAAAGTCACGTCAAACATTTTGTCACCCTCTCCAAATTATTGCAGGCATCATAAGTTAATTGAATACAGTGACAACATTTCAAATATTAAACTTGTATGTAAACGGTAAAATTCTATTGAAAAATCAATACTATTAAAACAAGATTTTGTTTTATCAAATGTTATAAATTTGCAAGTGATTTGTTTTTATTTAATTCACTCCATTTTACTTAATTTCAATAAGAATTTTTGGAGTAAGATAATAATAATATTTAGAAAATAAATTAATTAGTATGCTTGCGCTGTGTAATTAAACTTAATATTTTTCAGAGTTAATTACATTAATCAAAATTTGTTTTTTTTTCTATTGGGTGCGATCTGGAATAAAAACCATAAAAAATAATAGGTTCCCACTTGTTCATATAGAAGTATTAAACTGTTGAAAAGTATTAACAAATGTATAAAAAGTGTGGCAATTTATTTAGATTTTTTTAAAATAAATCATAGGAGTAGATGCGATGAAAACTGTAAAAATTACCATCAAGGGAAGGTGATCGATAAAACGATATACAGAGTGTGTAGAGATTAGTGACCGTTAATCGATAGTTATTCAGATATCGTGAGATGCGGTCGGGTGTGATGTAGGTTTCAGAAAAACATTTTCTTTATCGTGCCAACGTTTCGATCTTTATTGAGATCATCTTCAGGGCCTGGATTAGAAACATTGTTTCCATT